TAGGACTGATTAGTAGTCAATTAACAAGAGGTAAGATAATGTTTAAATACTTTAATAGTAACATACATGACTGTCATACTTGAGAATGTATATTTAAACTTTATACACAGGGTAATAGCTCAAATATAAGTGTTCATTAATGTTCTATCAATGATCCATGATTTGTTTTTGACTCATGTATATATTCTATTCTTTTATATTTGATTAATACAAGAGCTGATTATATTCTGATCATTACATCTATACAGGATAATACACATCATCTGATATATAAACATATGGTATTAGAATTATTACTGATGTTTTGTTTATTTATATATTTCTCATGTTTTCCAATGAAATATCATATGATCTTCTCAATTAATACAATCTTAATTGTGAAATGTTTACTCTTCAATCAATCAGTAATTTGACTATATTCTATTCAATAAAATGTTGATAAGAAGTTAGGCTAAGATGGATAGTGGGTAGCAGTGGAATCTAGGATGCGCGTTTCGTCCTATTTAGGACTTTTCAGCTGAATGTACCTGCATCTCAGAATTGATGTTCATTCTGGGACTCGAACCCAGTACCGTCCGCTTCAAACGCAATCACGTTATCCACTTAGCTAATGAGTCCTGATAGCCACCTGCTTGTGCAATCAGGTTGAGTTTATATTCACTTGGTGTTGTTTCACTTGAATCTTACCATTGAAGTATAGGACTGCAATTGATCAGCTTTTGGCTTAAGGCTATATCGAGGTAATCCGCACAGAATGTACATATGCCAACATGAAACTGATCAATTGCAGTCCTAAACATCAATGGGAAGATTCAAGTGAACAAAACCAAGTGAATATCTTTATGATTTATTTATTTGAACGAATAATCATAGGTACAAAGAGGCACGAAATACATATCCACCATATAATAACAATCAGACGGGTAGCAGTTATCATTGATATGTTTGAGGTCTATGATGCTCCCAGGATGCCCAAACCGAAACAGGCGGATTTCTTAGGGAATCATGAATGAATCTTTTGACTTAATGGTCTATACCACAAGGCAGTGGAGCAACATAAGGCGATGTAGTCTCATGGTAACCGGTGACCAATAATTGGTTCATAAGCCATTTGCTTCCTCGGTATCCTGAAGCACATGTTCACCATTGGTTTTGAATTAGGGTTTTCCAACTCCCCTAGATGGATCCGCCATATCCATCAACTCAGTTAAAGCACCGGACATTCACTTTTCGTCCTCTCAATTTCGTAAACAACACCTTTTGCGCGAGAAGGTAGTGAGTAGAACAATCGTTGTATACGTGTGGCCATATGAGAGCATTCGAGGAGGGAGAGAGAACTCTCCCCACACCCAGCCGTACAGCCTATTTGTGACTTATCTTACACAGATTGTTTTCTTTGTGGTATAAGCTAAAAATTCTGTATAAGTTTTGTTTGTATGTTAAAACACAAAGATTTATTGAAGCATTTCATGAAGATATTTTTTATATAATAAGCTAACTTTCATCATATATAAATATCTATGTTATTGACGTGAGAAACAATACCAAATGTGAGTTATTAGTTTGTAATTTCAGTTTTTTAAAAGTGCTGAAAGATTTAAACAATCCAGATTCAATGGTTAAGATCATGAGTCAGTTGAAGCTAGTCCACCATGGGAAACCCGGAAGCACTGTACGGCCGTTTCGTTCTATTGTGGGGCTCCTCAACAGTGCTTCCAGGTTTCCCATGGTGGTCTAACTTCAACTGACTCGTGATCTTAACCATTGAAATTACTACAATCTCCACAAAACCCATCTGATATTAATCCAGATTCAGTTAAATGAAAGTTTAGTGAGACTACAATTTATGAACGACCTTTGTACAGCTCTAAAATGACTATGGAATGTTCACCTAATTACTAAGGTTAAACGAAGATTATAGATTAGTGTCAGGAATTAGGACTAGGATTCACAGCTGAATATTAGAGTTGAGAATTCCATTTAATGTTTTCATCACGAACTGATATCAGCTATAGTGCTAAAATGATATTTAACTAAATGAGTGAATAAATTTTGCGCCAAAATTCAAGATCAGCTATCTTAAATCTGATTGGTTTGTCCATAAGTTAAAGTCTTTCCGAAGCTTCATTAAAATGAATTATTAACGATGCTTAAATTAGGTTTGTGGTTTAAAATTAAAAACAAAATTAATGCATATTCTAATCTAGATTGAATCGAATGGAAACTAATTTCACTGATCTCAGTGAATTTTTAGGATCATTACTGATTAAAATTATATCCAAATTCATAGATGAACTTACATATCTGTTTACGAGAATATATACACGAAATGCTAGTGATTGGGTTCTTAAGATTATAATGATTTAAAGCATAACTAATGGGTAGAATTTGATCGGCTCTGAGGATATGACAAACATGAGATTAATCGATTTAAACAAAATTTGCCATAGACAAGGTATGTCTCAATTGAAATAGTTCAGTAGTAAAGCTTCGGGCTGTAAAATGGTGTTCCGTAGGTTTAGATACAAGAAGAATAAACAATTCTCCTGACAGTTCAGGTATGCCTTTCTGATAATTGGCAAATAGCATGAAGCGTAAATTCAAGGTTTCACGTCACGATCGGTAAAAATTAGATGAATAACATTTGTTAAATGATGAACACAGAGTCATGTCAAGTTTACTTGTCACATATGCAACCATATACTTTCGTTTTATTAGACCACTTAATACTGTGTAATGTCATGTTTATACAGAACTTAGTGATGAATGATTCCTGTCAACCATCTTGCAATACAGGAACTGACTTGAGTGGCTCATCCGTGCACGCTCTATATTTTGATTTAAAGCATTTGAAGGCAGTCCTGAAGAAACCTTAGACCCAGGTTTTATTATCGTTATAAATCATCAGCAAAGTGTACGTGTAATCGTCTTGGAACTGATGTTCCCTTCTAAGCATTTCTATTAAATATTTTCCATATATACTGATGTGTTTTGAGTTCTTCCCCTAGTATGAAGCATGAAACTACAACACTAAACGTTCTCACAGTGAAGGGGGTTGTAAAAATTGTTCTACAGATGTAAATTTTACTATAGTGAATTCATAATCAATGGGATGGTTGGTGGAGGTAATCGACAGGAAACTCTAGACCTAGGTTCCGTGTTGTTTAGTACTCATCAGCAAGGTGTAGCAGTAATCTTGAGGGAACTGATGCTAATTAACGAATTTAATTCCATGTCACCCAGCTTCGTAGTCGGAGACGTTATCACGGATTTATCCGAACCGTAACTAGATCAGTGGCTACATTGCGACTTGGTCTATAGGATTTGACCTGCATCAAGAAGAACATAACACACTCTACATTAGTTACAACTCAATGATCAATTACCTAAAAACAGATCAGGGTGTCAACACTGAGAACAAATTAAGTTCAAAGTGTGAACAAAACTAGGTTATATTTAGTTTTACTACATCATTAGAGTCTTATTTCATAGATTGTACAACATTCGTCAAAAAAGCATACCTCTTATTATCCGAGAAGTGATGTGACTGTAAACTATAATCACAGTCTGAAACACTTGTACAATATTCATGAATTAATATGTTAATTTCATTCATGCACTTGAGCTAGGCTTAACTTTCGTCAATGAGGTATTTTGAATTACGATCCCGTGTCACACAGCTTCACAGTCAGAGACCTTACCACTGATCCCTTTCCACAAAACCAATTTCTAGGATGTTTTACTGACTATTTCTATAGTACTTTCAATAAAATAAGTAGTATAAGTTCAAACTTTACGAACAAATATTTAGATGAACGACATAGTGACACGTTTTAAAAGTTTTATACAATGGAAATGAAACATTTTTCTATTAGAATTAGTAAGCTTAAAAATAACTAACAATTTCAATCAAGCAGCTTTAGTAAGGTAATGAAACTTGGATTAATGAATGTTGAAGTTTTACAATCGTTCATCTATTCTCTTTTTACTTCACAGAATGTACGAGTACTTTATTATCTTTCAAAAAATCGATTGAACATAAAACTTGATCGAAGACATTCAAAATGTGCTGTGAGAAAGATCCCATTAGGTCAATAAAGTTAATTAACAATATCCATAAATCGTTTATAATTATGACAATTATATACACACTAGTACTGAATATAAAAAGATAGTTCCAGCAGTTCTAATAACTAAGGTATCATCAGTGGGGTACATCTATATCGAATATGAAATAATTATCTTTGAATAACATTTAGAAAAGTAGCTGTGTATTATTGTAAATTGATTGAGTTCCAATGTGTAAACGATTGTCAACTCATTCTAAATGTGTTTGACATATAAACTACAATGAACCATAAGTACAGTATATTCATCACAATTGATTGATCACTGGGTGGTGATCAATGTCATGCTTGTCTAGTCCTTATTAGTGCAGATCGAATGCTATCGATCATGTTGCAATGTGGCCAACAGTGTAGGTGACTCGACACTGCGGGCACTATGTATTGAGATTTAGATGGTGGTTGGAGGTAGTCGACAGGAAACCCTGGACCCGGGTTTCGTGCTACTTGGCACTCGTCAGCAAAGTGTACCTGTAATCTTGAGGGAACTGGTGCTCCCTGGCGGATTCGATTTCGTGTCACCCAGGTTCACAGTCAGAGACGTTACCATTGAGCTATCCGAGACGTGACTAACCTCACAAAACCGCACGAAACCCGGGTCCAGGATTTCCTGTTGACTACCTCCAACCACCATCTAAATCACAGTATATTCATATTTAATCATTGAATTCATTTTTAAAAAATGTGTATTCTTGTTAACAGTTGACTGATTTATAAGTTATATTTGGTTGTATTGTATATTCTTTTATCCATATTCTTTTATCAATTACCATTTGGCTTTTCTTTAAAAGAAAAGGAGATTCATTATAGATCATTTCAATTCATGCACGCAATATTCTTTATTACATCGCTTATTTAATATATTCATGCGTATAAATGGATGTAATGTTTTGTTTAACTTTTATTATAAGAGTGATCTATCAGGTATTGAATGATGGTTCATATCATTTATTCAATGATTTTGAATTTTTAGTGGCTTGGATTTGTAATATCGATGTAAAAACTGTTCAATTATATGGATGAAAATCATTCATCTTTTGGCATCATTGTTCCTCAGTTTACTCTCTCTCAATAGAGCCTTGGGCATTCATTTCAGTAACAATCGTCAGTGATCTGTATATATGAACATATGAACTGATTGAAAATCTCTATCATATTAATGTACCAGTGTATAAATGAAGAACATTCTTTTCATGAACATGAAAATGTAAATGCCAGAACTTCGACAAATAGAATTTGCTTCACAGGAGAAGTTGAATTGATACATACAAAACGAGGTAACGATTCTAGATAGTTTATTCTTTAGCTTAAGTCTCATCAGTAGACACGTAAAAAACACTTCATGGTTTTTCTGTATTAAATATACTTTGGATTAGTATTCTACTGGTTGCATCAGCTCTAAATTATAACCGAATGAACAGGAATTTGTTATTCATTGTTCACTTATTCTAACCTTTAGGATTACATATATACTTGTTTTCTCTAAAAATTATTAAGCAAGACAGTTAGTTTTTTCTTTTCTTACATCAATGGAACATTTGGTACATATTCAGTAACTATTAATATGGATCCATATTACAGGGTATATTTAAAGAAGGAACATACCAACATCACATCATTCAAGATCTTCTTATTACTTATTTACTTCCTTACGCCTGTTAGTCCTCATAGAGAAGCATGGGCCGCCTACCATCACTCTCCATTCAACCCTGTCCTGGGTACTCTTTCCCAGTTGTCCCCAGTTGCTGATCATCTTTTTCATATCTGCTTGCATTTCTCGACTTAGTGTGTTCTTCGGCCTTCCTCTTTTCTGCTTCTTTTCAGGATTCCAAGTCAAGGCGTGCCTCGTGATGCAGTTTGGTGATTTCCGTAATGTATGTCCTATCCACATCCAATATCTTTTACTAATTTCCTGTTCACTTGTTAGCTGGTTTGTTTTATTCCCAGGTAGTTTGTTGCTGATGGTATGAGGTCAACGTACATTCAGTATCTTGCATAGACAATCGTTTATAAACACTTGTACATTTATGATGATGATTGCATTAGCTCTCCAAGTTCTAGCTCCGGTAGAACTGTCTTGATGTTCGCATTGAAGATTGTCAATTTGATATTGGTTGGTAGTTGTTTTTATTTCCATATGTTCTTCAATTGTAGGAATGTGGCCCTTGATTTGCCAATCCTTTCCTCTTCGCCTGCATCAGATCGTCCTTGTTCGTCAATGATGTTTCCCAGGTACGTGGAAGATTCCTCCTCTTCTAGGGTTTTTCCATCAAGTGTGGTGGGGTTGGTGTTCTGCGTGTTGTATTTGAAGATCTTGCTTTTTCCACTGTGTATACTGAGGCCTACTGCTGCGGAGACCGCTGTTACATTAATTGTTTTCATCTGCATCTGTCCGTGTGTATGCCATTGGAAGGCTGGGTCATCTGCGAAGTCCAAATAGTCTAATTGGTTCTGAGCTGTCCATTGTATTCCGTGTTTTCCCTCAAATGTCGAGGTCTTCATAATCCAGTCGGTCACCAGAAAAGAGAGGAAGGGAGAGAGTAAGCAGCCTTGTCCGACTCCGGATCTCACTTGGAATTTATCTGTCAGCTGTCCTCCATGCAGAACGTTGCGCTGTAATCCGGATAATTTTGACAATCATCTCAGGAACTACATGATGTCGAAGAAGTTTCCATAATGTTCTGCTGTTCACACTGTCAAACACCTTCTCATAGTCAATGAAATGGATGTATAGTGACGAGTTCCACTCAACAGATTGTTCAACGATGATCCGTAGTGTTGCGATTTAGCCTGCTCACAACATATCCTTACAGAATCCGACCTGTTGATCTCGAAGTTGGACGTCTACTGCACCATTCATCCGGTTCAGCAACACTGCAGAAAAAGGTTTCCTGGTACTGACAGTAATGTGATGCTTGTGTAGTCCTCACATATACTCAGATCTCGTTTCTTTGGTATCTTGATAAGGTATCCTTCTTTCCGATCCGTCAGCTCTTGTTCTTCAACCCAAATCTTCTTCATGAAAAGAATGTGGAGTATCTTTGTAGTTACTTCTATGTCTGACTTCATTGTTTCAGTGTGTATATTGTGCAGTCCTACTGCTTAACCATTCTTGATTTGTTTGATGACCAACCATTCTGATTTGTTGTATCGTTGGTGGATTGACATCTATAAGAATGTGTGTGTGTGTGCTGCTTCGATGTCCGATGGATTGAGTGGGACTGGTCTATTCAAGAGTTTCTCGACATGTTCCACCCAACTGTTTCTTTGTCCTTGAATTTCAGTGATTGTCTTTCATTCTTTGTCCTTGATCAGTCTCCCTAGTTTACTAATATTCCTTTTTTAAAAAATCTATTTTACCCCAGAATCACGCATCGAAAAACAAGATTTTGAATAATAAAATTTACAGGTGAATTAATAATATTTTATCCTTCTGATTAGAAGATAAACAACAACAACAACCACAATAAACCGTATTCAATTCTGTTAATAAGATTAAACTTATGGTTACAATTAAGTCTTAATATTGTAAACAAATAAAGCTTAATGAAGTAGAAATAGTCAAAATAAAATGCTTCATTGAAAGAAAATAAGCGTTAACAGTTATGTTATTTAGATGTAATAAGCGTGAACAATATTCATGATTCATTTTTATGTTTACTGTTAACTAAACTTCTATTATTGGACACGAAAAAACTAAGTGAATCAATGTGAAATAAACAAAATAAATCAAAATAATTGGTATTGTTTGTTAGAATCTTTCTATTGACGTGTTGGGACTGCGTTTCATCAGTCTCTTATTGGCATATGTGCATACTGTGTGTATTGACTCAATATAGCTTTAATTCGCAAGCATTCTGAGCAAAGATAGTAAGTGGTTAGCAGTGGAGTTCAGAACGCGCGTGTTGTCATATTCCGAACTTATCAGACTGACCAATTGCAGTCTTAAACGTCAGTGGGAAAATTCAAGGGAAACAACACCAAGTGAGTATAAACTTCACCCCATTGCACAAGCAGGTGGCTATCAGGATTCAGTAACTAAGTGGATAACGTGATGGCGTTTGAAGCGACGGTACTGGGTTCGAGTCCTAGAATGAACATCAACTCTGAGATGAAGGTACATTCAGCTGACGAGTCCCAAATAGGATGAAACGCATCCTTTGTTTCACTGCTACTCACTATCCGTCTTTGCACATAAACCAAATAATTGTTATACTAAGACTATGTTGTCGTTTCTAATCCTAAATGTTTGTCGATAATTTTATTTATCATTATAGGGTAGTGCAATACCTTGTATTAGATTTAAATGTATCTTTTGGATCCTGGCTTGGTGATCTAGAGGTTCTCACGACACCGAAGGTTCCAAGTTTAAGTCTCGCGTTCAGTTTTGTGGATACGCGCTGCTGAGAAGCCCGATAGTTGGATGAAACAGCCGTTCAGTCCTTTCAGGTCTTTACTGGTGATCTAAATTTCACGGGTTTTCGATATTGGTAATAATTACATCGTTTATATTGTTAAGTTGGTTAGAAAAAGTAATAGATGAAAATCATCCTTATATTATTAAACGAGGTCATAATTCAAGATTTTATATTTTGTTCGATTCTCTACATCAAACGTTCATGAAAATTATTAAATTTGCAGTTAATATTTTGATGATAACTTGATTACAATATTAGAGTTTGGCGCAAATGCTCGTGGGCAGCTTATGCTCCTTCACAAGGAGTAACAGGCGTAAGTAATGTAAGTAAATAAGTCAATGATAACATTAAAAACTATGTTAATCACAAAGCTGTTTCTTTTTAATTTAGGAATCCCGTACATTATGCTTGGAAGCCTTGATGTTGAATCGCGATAAAATCCTATGTGTTTTGTAAAGTGTGAACTCAAGGAAATTCTAAGAAGCTCCAATAATCTTTTGGAAAAATATTCCACAATTTCCACATATAACTTCCGTATTGGACAAATACTAAAAACCTCTGTATGCAGAATGGATTACTATAATGAGTTCGTTTTTACCAAAAAACTATAAATGCTTGAGAATTTTAGACCATATTTCAAAATATATAAAATAGAATTCTTTTAACTTGTCTTCTGTCTTGTCATTTGCGTCTTGAAGGGTTCTAGCATTCGAGTGCTCAAGTTGTACCCGATATAACACAAATCTAAGCTCTAGATACAACATAAAAATGGTTAGGAAAACAAGGTTTTAATAAAGGTTGTTCATATATTTAATGTCACCAACTGTGGAATTCTGGATACGTGTTTCGTCCTATTTGAAACTCTTCAGTTAGTTTGTTGTGCCTAGTGTTGACATTTCACAAGGAGACTCGAATCCACTACTTTACTATTCAATTGTCAGACGAATTAATCACTGAAATACTAATTCCAGGTAGTCATTAACCTGTTCAATAAATATAGAAATATTAGTGAAACTTGTACTTTTCTATAATAAAACTTTCATACACTTAAGACAATTCATTGACTAGCTGGATTCACTAACTCACTTCACTTGACTAAGTTTAATCTCCAAAATGAATTCAAGAATGTAAAACTTTGTTCATTATATCTTAAATGTAATAATTTCAATTATATTGCACAAACTTTACATATAAACAATTTGAAGTAATGAACTAAAATAATACAAACTGATCTTTACCTAACAATGAATAATTAGACTATTGAAGATTATAAATTAATATACATAAAGAACCATTTGAACAGATGAAGCGTTATTTAATTTCTGAAGTTGGATATTAATATCATTGGATGCCGGTTCAGTGGTTTAGAAGTTAGGCATTCATCCATGAGATCGAAGGTCCTGGGTCCGAGTCCCATGTGCTAAAAAACCCACCCAGTACTCTTAGATTGTTGATAACTGCATAACTGTAATCAAGTTATCAGTTAAAGGAAATACAAAAATGCAGCAAAATTTCAGAGAGTTACAAACTTTAATAGTTGAATTCATGAGAAACCCTGACCAGTGGAGTCCGATCCGAGTCGGGTAGAGACACGTATCTACCTTAGACAATGGATTAATGGTTGTGCAGTCATTCGTGGATCGGTGTAAGTTAGACGTTAACACTGTCAGATACCAGCTCAGCGGTTTAGGGGCTAGGCGTTCGCCTGCAAAACCGAAGGACGTGGATTCGAGTCATGGATGCACACTGCTGAGTATTCACATACTAGGATGAAACGGCCGTCCATTACTCTCTAGTGTGAATATGATTTTGGATTAAATCAACTATTTTCGCAATCGATCCTTAAGTTAATGTTAAGATTTAGATTTCATGTTTGTTGATCTTTGTCATTAAGATGCATCTGTAATGTTTATGCGAAAATGGAATTATTGTTCCTTGTCAGGCTTACGTAATATGTTTAAATACTATTTATTTATTTAAACTCTTAAATATTGGTACAAAAGGGCATCAAATACACATAAGTCACTTGATTTGTGCGTGAGTTGGGATGCTGCTCGGGTGTTCAGATCAAAACAGGTGGTTTTCTTAAAGGATCACGCCTGGAACATTCGACTTAAAGGTCTGATCCACAAGGCAGTGGAGCAAGATGAGGAGATGCAGTCCCATGGTAGCAGTTGACCAATAATTGGTTCATAAGCCATTTGTATCCTCAGAATCTTGGATCCCACGTGCACCAATGTTTGGAATCAAGGTTTTCCAACTCCAATAGGTGGATCCATCAGCCTGGTTAAAGTGCCGGACATTCGCTTTTCGTTCTCTCAATTTCGTAAACGACACCTTTTGTGCAAGAAGGTAGTGAGTAGAACGCTCTTTGACAATCGCTGTATACGTGTGGCCATGTGAGAGCATTCGGGGAGGGAGGGCGAACTCTCACCACCCTCTGTCGTACCAGGGCCTTACCATTTAGCCTAGTAATAAAGTCTATATTTAAAAGAAAATATTTGCTATGAGTTGACATGCTTCTATAAATATATTACTTTGTTTCTTTTCATAATTATGAGCTCGCAAAAGAGACATTTTAGAACACTTGTTTACACATCTTCGTTAGATTAATGAGCTAATAAGCCTAATAGGTAGCTAATTTCAAATGTTACCTTATTTCAATAGACATATTTCTTGAAACAAATTCGTTATGCTGTAGTGTCTCAGCTTCATTGATCAATCACCTTGATAACTTTGATTATATTAGTCCCAACGCTGGTGGGATTTAGAAGGCAATAAGAAGCGGCAGCTACAGTTTATTAGTGGTTAACATAGATAACAAAGTTACAAACACATTGAGTGAAGTTGAAGCAGAGTGGTCAATCCGTGTGTGAATGCATAGATGAATTTATAGTCACATCGAACTAAGGAGCAGGGAGGGAAGGCAAAGATTATTACAAGAATTCGAGTACATACATACATGGGAAAATATTGGATTAATTTTTTCTCACTTATTCATTATTGCAGATAAATTTACAATTATTTAGATTACTACTATTACTACTACTACTACTACTATTGCTACTACTACTACTACTACTACTACTACTACTACTACTACTACTACTACTACTACTACTACTACTACTACTACTACTACTACTACTACTACTACTACTACTACTACTACTACTACTACTACTACTACTACTACTACTACTACTACTACTACTGTATGATTCATGTTGCATTTATTTTCAGCTGTGCAACTTAGTATTGTATAGTACCGTACTATGATGGTGAGTACTTACTTTAATCAAATCGAATTTGATTGAGAGAAATTCAACCGTTCAATATGTCGAATCAAAAAGATATTTTGTAAATTCCTATTTTGTTTCAATGATTCTATCATCCATAAAATCAAAAAGGGGGTTTTTGTGGAGATTATAGTAATTTAATTAGTCGAATTCATAAGTTGATTAAAGCTCAATCAACATGGAGAACCTAGAAGTGCTGAACTAACTTCAAGAGATATTTCCTAGAGTTCTAGTGAGAAGCCATGACCAGAAGAGTTCAATCTTTCAGTGTATTTAGTATTAAAAAATTATGTAATACGTTTTACACACTAATTATTTATCCTATGAAAGGGAGATTTTGTTCAGACAGTCAATATACATTGATTTTGTTACATCATTTAAAGATATTATAATCATCAATCTTCCTTAAATATATACATACATATATGTACTCAATGCTTGTATTGTTTCAAGTCTAATTATAAACAAACAGATTGAAAGTGTATTGATACTTGATAAAATCTCACATGTAGGCGAATATATGTATCATTTTGTATTATTATTCATAGAATGATAGCATTCATTTCACAAAAAATTTGGAAACTTTCTAAGGGAATAAATGAATTATAGACAAGCGGCTATCAGAACTCCATACCTAAGTTGATAACGTGATGGCGTTTGAAACGAATGGTACTGAGTTCGAGTCCCAGAATAAACATCAACTCTAAGATGCAGGTACATTCATTTGACGAGCCTCAAATAGGACGAAACGCACTTCCTGGTTTCCATTGCTAGCCACTATCCATCTTTGTTTAAAAAGCTTGTGACTTAAGGCTATATCAAGGTAATCCGCACAAGATGCACATATGTCAACATGAGACTGAACAATTGTAGTCGTAAATATCAACGAGAAAATACAAATAAACAATTCCAAGTGAAGTTATAGTCAACGTAGTTTAATCAATTTAATTTGTGCATTTTATTATGTTTCTAGAGAGTATTCTCTACACATCTTATTATGATAAATAGATTGGTTACATTCTTAATTATCTACAGTAGATCAATTTAGTAAAACGTGCTCAATTAGTGTACTTGATATACTTGATATACTTGAAAGAATTTTATTTATACTTTGCTCACTTTTTCCTTCATGATCTGATCTCTTTTGTTAAAACCTTAATTAATTGATAAGCTGATATATATCACTGTAGTGTTGTTTATGTCTGTAACTTATAGGAATGTTAAAGTTAGACGTTATGCAGGCCGGCTCAGTGGTCTTGGGAGTGAGCGCTCGCGCGCGAGACTGAAAGGGTCTGGGTTCGAATCTCGCGAGGCGGGATCGGGGATACGCACTGCTGAGGAGTACCACCATAGGATGAGTTGGCCGTCAAATGCTCTCAGGTTTTCTATGGTAGTCTAGCTCCAAATAACTCATGATCCCAACTATTAAATTATAAAATTGCGTTAACGCTTTATTAACATCGAATGGCAAATTCTTGAATCAAAGTCTTCGATAAAGGTATTTGAAACCGTATGAGGGATACATTATTTTTGTAATATTAAAAACGTCTTCATCGTAACCGCATTAATGAATGTTTATCTATTTAATGTTCTGCCTTTTTTCACCTCACTTGACCTTCGAATGTTTCTCTATAGTCAAAACATGCTTTTCTCTTGACATAATACATAACTAGAACACACAGTTTTTTCATTACCTTATATTCACAATGATAAATGATATTACCTATTCTTCATAATTGTTTTCACTTCTTCTTTCTGTAATTCTCAAGAATCAACTATATGGTATTGTATAGGATCTTGTTGAATGTCGCCATCAATAAATATGTTTATGTTTTTGAGATCACAAATCAGCCATATTTAGAAAATCATTCCAATCAAAGAAACACTGAACATTTATTTCGTCCTAGAATAGAACTCCTCATCAGTGTTCATCGAAGACCTTGACGTAAGCGGTAAAACTAGATGAGATACTTGAAAAGTAGTAAGAAACTGTAGGGACCTACTTTTATGAAGAGAACGCGATTGGTATAATCGAAAAAAATTATTATTATTATTATAACCAACTATTCCAGTGATTGTTTTACTGTACCTGCTTGTTTATGTGTACCAAAAAACACACACCATTCTGTTCTCTGTCCCCTTGCACGAACTCTCGTACGCTTAGTAGTCCCGCTTGTAAACTTTGGCACGACCTCGGTATTACTTCGATACCACGAGACCGCCAACAAATACATCTTACTACAACTTTTAACTGCCTTATAATATTTACCCTACGGAGGAATCTAACCTGGTAACTGGCACGTAGTCTTTCTGTACTGGTGATCATAGTCAACCGCCACTCAACACCTACTACAAACATAATAGATGATTATTCATAAAGGTTTATATCTTCACACTAATAATATTCTATATCCGTACACAAGAGATAAAAAATGATAACGCATTTAATACACAAGACTATCTAATTGAAATGATTGTTCTTAAGATTGAAATTCACAGGTAACGTATTCGAACAGCTTTGAAAATGAATTCCTGGATTGGATTGATCACTTAATAATCAGTAGATTGGTTGTGTAGACCGTCGAATGTTGTTGAGATCACACACTGATTTGAGTTTATTAAACATTGAAGAAAAAGTACTAAATAGTCGATTTGTTCCTCAGCAAGGGGGTAATCAAAATCACCAAATCAGGGATCGAACTGGGAACCGTAGATCTTATTTAAGAAGGCTTGAACTCTAGGTTTTGATGGTGTACATGCTTAACTTCAGTCAATCCGTGTTATAACGTGGCAAATCCTTTTATCGTTGGTGAGTGCCTTCCTCACGCCTGATATGGTTAAGCTCCACTTGCCACTGCTTGAACAGTTATTAAAATAAAGTATACAGCTTAATCATGAAACATATAACCTAGGGATATATATTTATATACTGGTCAAGGAGTATTCTGTATATTTTTAAATATTCATTTCATTTGATAGCTGAAATTAAATACTGAATTTCGATCAATCTGAATTAAGGAATATGAAAGACAGAATGCTGGGAAAATCATTGGTTTAAGAATTCAGGATACACGTTTCATCCTATTGGTGACTCGTCAGCTGGGCTCGCCTGCATCCTATAGTTGATGTTCCCTCAGGGACTCGAACCCAGTACCATTCGTTTCAAACCTCATCACGTTATCCACCTAGCAACCGAGTCCTGATAGCCACTCTCTTGTACAATGGGGAAGATACAAGCAAACAATATTAAAATGGTTGCAGAAACAAATAGATTCGAATGACCAAATAAGAGCAGAGGATAAACATCCATTATCCTTTATTGCTAGACATGTGATCGAAACAGGCCATAAGATTGATCTTAACTCGGCTTTTGTAGTGTTGTATAAAAGTGTAAAAGGGCTTTTACTAAGGTTTATCAAAACCTTAGCCATACGAAAATTCAGATCCCCTTTGTGTGCGCAAAAACAGTTTGTTCTCACCTTAAACGTACCTTGGAGATATTGATATATTAGCCATAGTGATTAGGTTTCAAATTGTGTTCATATTATTATCATTATTACTCTTATTACCATCGTTGTCTCCTCTTACCCCATTTCCAGTCTAATCGACCTTTTATTTTTATATATAAATATTCTTAACAAGTACATTATGCGTGTGATCAGATTGTTCGAAATACTTTACGCTAATATATCATCACATGGGTCTGATAATCTTCGTCTTCTTATTATATTATCGGAATTTATCAAAGGGACTAATTGATTTAAACACCAAAGGAATTTACAATTAACTAAGTATAGTTATAGTGACCGCATAAACGTTAATCATCATAGGCTAACTAATATGAACTTACTTACTTACTAACGCCTGTTACCCCCAATAGAGCATAGGCCGCCGACAAGCAATCTCCAACCCACTCTGTCCTGGGTCATCCTATATAGTTCCTTCCAATCCTCGTTCATTATTCTCATGTCTATCTTCATTTCCCGGCGTAATGTGTTCTTCTTGAGTCTTCCTCGCCTCCTTTGGCCTTCAGGATTCCGTGTGAGGGCTTACCTTGTGACGCAGTTCGGTGCTTTCCTCAATGTGTGTCCTATCCACATCCAGCGCTTCTTCCTGATTTCTTCCTCCTCTGGCATATGGTTTGTTCTCTCCCACAGTGGGTTGTTGCTAATAGTGTCTGGTCAACGGATGTGAAGTATTTTGCGTAGACAACTGTTAATGAACACCTGTATCTTCTCGATGATGACTTTCGTGGTTCTTCAGGTTTCCGCCCCATACAGTAGAACTGTCTTGACATTTGTGTTGAAAATCCTGACCTTAGTGTTGGTTGACAGTTGTTTCGAGTTCCGGATGTTCTTCAGTTATAAATATGCTGCTCGTGCTATTCCAATCCATGGCTTCACATCTGTATCAGATCCACCATGTTCATCAATGATGCTGCCCAAATATGTAAAGTTTTTTATGAAACGACACCTATATTATTTTTTTACAAATTTTACATTAGTTTCATAATCGAACTAATTCATAAAGTCAGGAGTTTTGTGGAGATTTTAGAAATTTCACTAGTTCAAATCATGAGTCAATTGAATGCACACCACTGAGGAGTCCCATATTAGGACGAAATAGCCTTTCAATGCTCCCAGATTTTCCATGGTAGTCTAGTTTCAATTGACTCATGATTTCAACTAGTGTAATTCATAAAACTAAATTAACTTCATAAGGTCGAATAAAAAAATAAATATTATAATCATCTAATCATTTTGTTCATCACACAGCTGACGTTACCATAGTGACGTGTAGTTTTCTCATTCTATTGACAATATTTTCTCCACAGTAACTAATACAAATAGTATTTAATGGAACTACATGAAAAATGTTTCTTTTTCACTTAATGTAATATGAACAACATGTTGTATATAGAA